ATAACACGAATACTATTCACAAATCTACTCACCAATATTGCTCTCAATCAACAATAAAAAAGGTGCCCCACGTTAGTCGCCAAATAAAAAATCTTTATATTAGTCAAATTACTTTAGTTAAATTACTATAACACGAATACTATTAACAAATCTACTCACCAGTATTGCTCTCAATCAACAATAAAAAAAGGTGCCCCACGTTAGTCGCCAAATAAAAAATCTTAATATTAGTTAAATTACTATAACACGAATACTTAACACAAATCTACTCACCAATATTGCTCTCAATCAATAATAAAAAAGGTGCCCCACGTTAGTCGCCAAATAAAAAATCTTTATATTAGTCAAATTACTATAACACGAATACTATTAACAAATCTACTCACCAATATTACTTTCTATCAACAATAAAAAAGGTGCTCCACGTTAGTCGCCAAATTAAAATTTCATTACATCGTCCGCAAATAAATGAATTTTCAATTAATTCTTCTGTGTGACAAAATGATGAGATGAGGTTTCGTAATGAGACGCATGAGGGTGTATCAAAACCAAGCTACGCTAAGTGCACACGATAATGGAATCAACATTTGCTGCCTTCCATCAATTAGCGTTAAATCCAGGATGCAACGGCGGGAGCCCCATTAGATACAATAAAGATCGATATGCATAGTACGGAAGGATAATTATTTCATTGAACTAATGAAGACCCGCTCTTCTCTCCACCCTTTTGTCGCCTCCTATGAATACGGCCCTTAATTGCAGCCGCACGTTCGTTTACAAACCTAATTACAAAGGTTCTCTTTTTCTCTCTCAGTCCCTACATACTCATTTCTATATTTTTTTTTTCGAAGTTCGTTTCATAATATCATTACCATCTTTCGAAAGCCGTTGTTAACAACTACATTTAATTTGGTCACTTGACGTAATCAATACTCAAATCCTATTTTTGATAATTCTTGATAAAAGTATAAGGTATTATTGTTTTTGTGTTATTTAATTGGCTCGACAATTGTCGAGCGCTCAAAAAAATTGAGATTAGACTCATTTGAGTTGTCCCCCTCCACGGAAATCTTTAGTAAAAGGCGAAAGATTTATTCGCTCTGAAGGGAAACCAGAGTACCTATCTGGACACCGGTTACCTGAGTTATGCGTACACCAAAAATTACAATGATATAAGGTATTTTGAAGGACGCCATCTGTGGAGAATTACACGAACTAATCGCGATTTTCAGTTAATTCATCATGATTATGATTGTAATTAATTATGAAACGTTTCATATAACTAATTAAGTATTAGTCATGTTGATATTTAGAAATATTTGATTATTACGTGATTCTAAAAAAAAAAATTCAAATATAAAATTATGACTTATGCATGAATAAATTGTTTTGTTGGTAATGGTAATAAATGAGTTAATTTAATGTTTGCTGATATTTATCTTTACTACGACTTGAATATAATATGAATAAACCGGAGTAATTTGTAACCGTCTCCGGAGTTTCATGAAAATCGTCAGCGAGGATTTATAGGGGACGAAAGGAATAATATATAAAAAAAAATGTGGTGAAATGAGCGAAAGAAAATACACGCAAATAAAACAGGAGAAAGGACAAAAAAATATATATCTATGAAGGGAAGGAAGAAACGAGTAAAGGAAAAAAAAAGGGCACGCGAATTGCATGATTCTCTCTTTCACCCGTCTTGTAAGTTAGGAATCCAGAATAAATAATACGACGGAGACGGGAGTGAAAGAAGTTTTGGAGAATGAGAAGTGAAGGGGGAAGAAAAGAAGTGATGTAAGTGGAACATATATAGAGGGAGAGGGAGAGAAAAACATTTTATTTGCGGAAAGAAGCTCAAGGGCATCTTCCGTGTCCCGTAATCCGGAGGAATATGAATGGCGCGGATCTCGCATTTTGCCGGGGCGAAGTTGGAAGATAATGCTCTCCGAAGTGGAGGTCTTCCAGAACATTTCCACGTCTCCTCCACCTACGCTCGATCCCCAGAAATCGCCACCCATCCACCAACCCAACATACACACACTTAGAGTTTCGGGAAAAGCCATCTCCTTTTTGTGGTGACCGCAGGCCCGGCCTCAGCAAAATCAACATTTTAATCTGTTTGGAATTAATTATGGCTCATTTATCTTTTTACAAAATAAAAATTTCAAAATAAAGAAATTTTATTGTAGAAATTTAAAAGCTTATTACAAGATAACAGATAACACTACAAAATTGATAGTAGACTCATTGAAAACGTTAAAGTTTTAACTTTAATGTGCATTTGGAATCATCTAATTGTCATATTTACTTACCGAATAATTAAATAAAACGTAAAGACCTAAAATTATAGATTTCCATTTTAAATGCAAAATAAATAAAATTTCATGTAGAAATTCATAAGCTTATTACAAGTTAACAGAAAATGTCACAAAATTGATAATAGACTCATTTGAAACGCCATATTTTTTATCATTAATATGCATTTAGAATCATCTAAGTGTCGTATTTACTTACCGAATAATTAAATAAATTGTAAAGACCAAAAAATTATAGTTTTCCATTTTATATGCAAAATAAATAAAATTTGATGTAGAAATTCATAAGCTTATTACAAGTTAACAGAAAATGCCACAAAATAAACTCATTGGAAACGTCATAGTTTTATCTTTAATATGCATTTAAAATCTTCTAATTATCTTATTTAATTACCGAATAATGAAATAAAATATAAAGACCTAAAACTATAGCTTTTTTATATCCAAAATAAACAAAATTTGCTGTCAAAATTTGAAAGCTTAATTATAAGATAACAGAAAATACCACAAAATTGATAATAGACTCATTGAAAACGTTAAAGTTTTAGCTTTAATAAACATGTTTAATCACCTAATTTGAATATTTACTTACCGAGAAATTAAATAAAACGTAAAACCTAGAACGCTAAATAATTAAAATTCCTCAAAAATTATTACATAATCTTATAACAATATTTTATGTTTATATTTATTAGTTGGCCCGACAAATGTCGGGCACTCAAAAAAAATTGAGATTAGACTCATTTGAGTTGTTCCCCTCCACGGAAATCTTTAGTAAAAGGCGAAAGATTTATTCGCTTTGAAGGGAAACCAGAGTACCTTTCAACTATTTTCTTACCTGCTTTGAACTGAAGCAACATCCTGTTTTAATTCACGGAGTTTACAGCAGCTCCATCTCGTGTGTTACATAATTATCATTATAGTGGATTGAACTCACAATCACATTTGACCTTATCATGTTTTCATTAGTTCTTATCAAATTCAAGTAATATTTAGAGGTTTTACAAAAAAAATTGATACTACTTTTTTTATGTGAATAATACATTTTTACTTAATTTGTTATTAATATTTATTGCAATAATTATGTAATTACGTAAATAATTACAATAATTAAGTTATTGTTTTAAACAATCACATTCAAAATAAAGTACGGAATAAAAATTTATGTGAAATCATTGCTCTTTTCCAACTCTTTTTTTCTATAAATCTTAAAGACAAATTTTTTCTAAACTTGCCTAAAGTTATTACAACTTCTACATTTTTATAAGTTATAGAGTGTTATACATGAAGATACACAATTTTTGTTGTAAAGTAAATTCGAAATGAAATTTGCTATATCTCGTTTATATATTAATTTTATTGAAACAACGTCTATATTTAAGTTTTGTAAACTAAAATCATCTTTTGATATGTTTTTGATAAGCATTTTGTTAAGCAAATGATTGAAAAACTCCAAATTGGGGATGGAAATAAAGTATTTTGGAAATGAAATTTATATTTACGTTGTTTCTATTCATTATTGTTATTTTATTCATGACTTTGACGAAGCGCCATCTACATTTCAAATTTGGAACTAAATTGGATTTTTGCACTAACATTCATGTTTTTGCTAATTTTTCAAATGAATTTGATTTAATGTCCAAGTTCAAATCTCGGTAATTGATAAATCTGAAACCGTCCCTGCGTGACCCTCGCCACAAGGGTAAGAGCCTAGCAAACTCACTCTCTCGCGCTTCTGGGTAGAAGAGATAGATGTAAAAGTTCGGCGGGTTTCAATGGCCAAGGGCATCAGACCGACATCGATTCTCGTATAGAAAGTTCGTGCGTACGTACGAAGTACGTACATCGAGAGAGTAGAGCAATTCGTCTCCTTCCATTCCTTCCTATACAGCTACACAAACACATGTCCAACGAAGATTAAATTTCGACGATGAACTGGGTTAAAAATGATGGATCCACTCATTTCTTTCTGCTGTTGTTGCAGCACATCCATCTCTTCCATCGAAATAACGTCCATTGTTGTCGCAGCTTAATTATTCCAGTGTTCCTCGCTCCATCGAGCATAGTCCTTTCTTCCCTCAACTTCCTCCCTTTTTGATTTATAAACGTCCATAACTTTCTGTCTCTTTCCCTTCCGTGCTTTTCTTCCTTCAATTTTTTCTTGTTCGCGCTCGAGGATAAAAAAAAAACACGGAAAGGTCAACGCGATGAGTTTCTTTTCAATTTGCCGCCTCCGACCTCGAACATCATCTCCACCGTAATCGATGAGGACGGAGCGCAATCTCCGGGATTGATGCGAACAACACACTCATGCGTTATGATCAAAACCGAAAAAAGCACCCCTTTCGACAGATATCGTTTGATGTTTGCCGGGCTGCAAATTCTATTAGCCTCGTATTTTCAATTTTCTGTCGCATTCATGTTTTTCGTTCAACTTTCAGCAAACAAATTTTAGTTTTACTAATTACAATATTATTTTTTCTAATGGATTATTTGACTATAATATAAGATTTTATATGAAATTTATAATAAGGACAATCAAATTCATTCATTTTTTATAATTAATAAAAATATAAACTGTCATAAAAGAAGCGTTACTATTTTATTTTACCGCAATTTTTTTTCTATTGAAGTTTTGTTTTTAATTTATAATTATTAATAAATATAAACTGTCATAAATGAAGCGTTACTATTTAGTATTAACGTCATTTTTTTCTTATTGAGGTTATGTCAATTTCTATTTGCTAATTATGGAATATGGAATAAGTAATCAAAATTACGTTAATTATAAAAAATACTTCATTCTTTAATTTGTAATTAATAATAAATGTATACTGTCATAAAAGAAGCGTCACTATTTTGTTTTAACGTCATTTTTTTCTTATTGCGGTTATGTCAATTTCTATTTGAAAATCATATAGAACAAGTAATCAAAATTACGTT